AGAGGTTGAAGACCCAAAGACATACCCTCGCAGAATGAAATGGTTCATCACATTCGTCGTCGCTCTTGCCGGAGCCACAGCACCAATGGGCAGCGCGATCTTTCTCCGTGAGTCTCCAAACACAAATTGACTATTCGTCAGACCATCACTAATTAATCTTCTATCAGCTTCACTATCACAGGTAACCAAGGAGTTAAATACAACAACCACAATCACTAACCTGTCGATCGCGTTGTACATGCTGGCCATGTCGATATTCCCATTGTGGTGGTCATCGTTCAGCGAGCGACTTGGGCGACGGACTATCTACCTGGCTTCTTTTACTCTCTTTGTGGTCTTCAACTGCCTTTGTGCCGTCTCGGATTCTATTTCAATGCTGATTGTAATGCGAATGTTGAGCGGTGGTGCTTCTGCTTCTGTCCAGGCGGTTGGTGCTGGCACCATCGCCGATCTCTGGGAATCCAGAGAACGGGGGCGGGCCATGGGTATCTTCTATCTAGGTCCGTTGTGCGGACCCCTGTTTGCACCAATTATTGGTGGTGTCTTAGCTCAGCGCTGGGGATGGCGGAGTACCATGTGGTTCCTCTCGGCATTTGGTGCTCTCACTCTCATCTTTATCTTATTCGCCCTTCCCGAGACATTGACCGTACAAAAGCCTGTGATGGCTGAACCCGACAACGAAGATACAGCTATCAGCCGCCCGTTGAGTCGAGTCTCGTCGCAGCAGGTTGTTCGGTCCACCGCGAGGTGGCTCAAGACGATGAGGATGGTTTTCATCGATCCGCTTAAGATCATTCTCTACCTCCGTTTTCTCCCGGTCCTTCTCAGTGTGTACTATGCTAGTATCGCGTTCGGTTCCCTCTATGTGCTTAATATCAGTGTTGAGGACACATTTGGAAAGGCGCCATACAACTTCTCCACCACCATTGTTGGTTTACTGTACATTCCAAATTCGCTGGGCTACATGGTCAGTAGTATCTTTGGAGGCAAATGGATGGATAGCATCATGCAACGGGAGGCGAAGAAGGCAAATCGATACGACGAGAAAGGCAGACTGGTACTACGACCTGAAGACCGAATGCGTGAGAATGCATGGCTTGGTGCCTTCATGTACCCGGCAGCCCTGATTTGGTATGGTTGGGCATCGGAGAGGGGAGTCTTCTGGCTTGTCCCGGTATGTCAACTCTCAATGTAGCCCCCCAGACACATCAGTAGCACTCTCTAACTTCAACAGATGATTGCCAACTTCTTCTTTGGTATGGGCTCCATGCTCATTTTCAGCATGGTAACCACCATGCTCACGGAATTCATGCCGAAAAAGTCCTCGGAGGGTGTAGCTCTCAACAACTTCATGCGAAACATCTTCTCCTGCGTCGGTACCGTCGTCACTGCCCCGATCATCGATGGTATCGGTAATGGGTGGCTGTTTACCATCCTCGGGCTGCTCGGCTTCGCCAGCAGCTCTGTCATTTTCCTGATGAGAGTCAATGGCCCTAAATGGAGAAAGACTTTGGATGCACATCTGCGGTCATGAGTTGCTTTTGCTCTGCATTACGCATTACTACGTTGTGTTTTATCTCCGGCGTTCAAGCATATGTTTATATTAATTTTTAGGAGGTGGTAAGGGCCTGGCATCCATACCATACACCATTGGTGTCAGCTGCTTTGCACATACCTCTCACCAAAACAAAATATCCATACCTGACTCTGTCTCTTCATTCATGTTGAGTCATTCTCAAGTCGTTTTTTTTTTTTTATGTATTCTCAACAAGAGTAGTGGTCCGCCTATGCGGCCTCTGTCCTTCACGATATAAGACTTTCATAATCTGATCTATCTATCTGGCAAGATGATATTAGGGACGTTCTATGCAAGAACACTCCGATATTCTTGGTGGATATCTTTAGTTGTCTTTCATTCTCAGTAAAATAACTTTGTAAAGGGATAATGAATAATATGACATGCCAGGCTGGTAACTCTACGACAATATAAGGCAGTAAAAAGCATAAACCTAACAGATTACTTTTCTAGATACGTATAACCGGGAATACCTACTGTTTCCTTCAGTATTCAGATCTATCTGATACTTGAAAACGGTACCCATCGTCAACCTATGCGACTTCCACTTAAATAGGGGTATACAATCAGTACCTAGCTGCTATTCCATGGGACCCCTCACCTCAAGTTGAGAATTACGCTTCTCTTAGAAGCATCCAATCCGTGTTCCGGCAATTGCACATGTCAAGCTAGTACGTATGAGGTCTTACGTATTTGTGTTATCGTGCATATTATCTTGGCCTAGCTACATACACTAGATATACCAAGTACTAGTCGGTCAACGATAGCATATTTTTGTCGAGGGAGTAGCCCTCTCAATCATCAGGGGTAATTGATTGCGTGGGATGAACCTATCCATTATAATTTTGACCTATATAAGTTCATCTCAATTTCTACTCCATACGAAGTATAGAAAAAATATATAGATCTGAGTGAGACTGCACGTGTTAATTCACCTGCATGAAAAAAAGTGAGGCAGCCAATCAGAGCTCCATCACGCCATGTTCTTGACTAGCCAGCACTTCTAGCGAACATTCGATGCATCAGTCATGAGGGGAAGGGGAGATCGCCGGCGAGATAACGGAGTATAGGGGGTTATGTGCTGGGGTTGCTAGTCTGCGAGGTATGTACTTTTTTAAGCGATATTCGCGGATGCTTTTCCTCCCCGATCAATCAAGCCCTCTAATGCCAGTAGGTTTTCTTTTCTTTTTTCTCACATGGATCACTCTCTAGCAGATCCGATGCCGGCAACATCCCTACCAAGTTATACTTCAAACGACCTATCCATTCACTAGTTCAAATCTCAAATACAAGACGCCGAATGAAAGTTTATTGACCTTGAGACCTCTCTTCTCTGATCGACATATCCCTTTTAAGTGCATAGATAACAAAGGACAGCTATACAAAAAAGGAGTGATGATGTTTATGCCCATCTACTTCGTGCAGAGTCCAACGTATTCAAAAATAGACCCCAAGGACCCAAGCATCCTGGCCCAAATCTGAGAATAGAAACAAACCCACCCAATAATATTTACAAATACGATGGGTTTCACCTCGTGGACCGCCATTTACTAACCATACGCAACACAACATGGATGCTCGGCCCGCTGCATGAAGTTGGGTACATACTTTGTAGATGGCCCTATCTAGTGATTTGGCTGAGGACTTGTATCGCGAAGTACAACATATCGGGGAATAACACGAAGAGTCAGCACCGAGATCCGCTAGAAAAGCGAAAAGTGGCCTAGACATGCATGCAGCTCTTTTGAGACTCGGGTGTTGGCTTCTGTACTTATCTCTACCCTTAGGTACATTAGGTCGAACTGAACACATGCTATTTCGAAAAAAAAGAGGACCCTAGTGACGAAGCTGTAGTAAGACGGCGACACATCAGTCAGATATCCGTGGGGTCTGTTAGTGCGCTCCGTATGTTGTACGCGGACTAAGTTGGATGCAGGAATTAGCGGACGTGTTGGTTTAGGAGTGGCTGGTATTGACGCGAAGACCACATAGTGATCGGCTGTACTCCGTAATCTGCACTCCGTACGGAGTACGGAGTAGTCATAGGTGGAATAGAAATATGATAATATCGAATATAGGAGAAACGAGGGAGAATTCGATGTCCAAGTCCAATGCGCAATATCACCTGACCCCAAGAAACTCCGGATTTCGCCATTTCCTTCTCTTTTTCCTTCGTCGGACCATTTGATGCAGTCCACGATGTTGAAATGCATATTACATCACCATTTCAACTGCTGGCTCCCTTACAGTTGAGTGGCACAGAATAATGTTCTCGGGCAATACTCTGAAGTGTCGGTGTCGTGTCGGTGTCGAAAGTGGAGATTCAGTTATCCACGACTCCATCAGCTCCATACAGCTTCATTCCCAGCCACCCCGTTTCGCCTTTCCAGTTCAGTTTGATTCTATGAATAATGCAAAAATTTGCTCGAAGTTCTAATATTTGCCTCCCAATATCGGATCCCGTTCGAGGTTAATTATTGCCCTGGTCTCCCCACCCACAGTGTACTTTGTACGCCTGCATCCTATTTGCCGCCGTTACCGGGGCACGTTGGGCAGAAATGGGCCTGCATCACCTTTGCGTCGCCCATCGATCTCCCTACTGAAACATTGCCTTCGTGGCTTTGTGTACTGTACTCCGTACACCTGCGAAGTTCTCTCGGCCCAAGTCATTTCTATTCTCATCTCAATATGTGTCTGTGTGTAGTATCCAGGCCCAAAAACAGACCAAAACAGAAAAAAAGACAAGTCAATTCAAATCCAATCCAATTCAATTCAATTCATTCGGTGGCATCCACCCCACTTCAACAGACCCAGTTTCTCCATACTCCTGCAGCATTGCCTTTCCTATCTTGACCGATGTGCCCCTCGATCCCCAATCCCATCTCGCCATTTACTGCTTGGTGCTGCAGCTATTCCTGCGGGTGGGGATCATGCTGCTCTCACCCGGCCCTAACCAAGCACCGGACCTCACTGAACCACAATGTCGGCCCTGGAGATGGAGACCCGACGACCGACGTGGCCCAATAACAATTGACTCCATCGGGCAGTTCATTGGTGACGTTCAGGGCCCAAGACCGTAATGCACTTTGTTGTCGTCCCATCCGACCGCATAGAGGACGAACTATTATACGCTGCCTCACCATGATTGTCCAATGCGACCTCTGTGTCACCAGAGAAACAAGCATATCCTTCCTTTCCCTTTTAGTATTCTAATACATGAGGTACCCTACCCAGTTTCACACTCCTCAATTGTCCATATTTTGTATCTTTTGTTCCTCGATTTCCCCTGTCGCCCCATACTTTTCCGTGCATCGAGCCCGACAAGCCGGCTTGTCAATCTCCCATTGTCCCGGTTCTCGTCACATCACGCGCCATTCAGCCTCGCCCAGGCCTTCGATATATGATACGTCATTGACCGGGGATCATGGCCGGTAAGAAGAAGAATAAGAACAATAAAAACAATAAAAACAATAACAACCGCCCTCCCGTCGGCTCTGCACCACCCCCTGAACCTGAGAATAAAGACCTCGTCGACTCTGCCCCGGACCCGGCGGCAGCCGCTGTTGAGGATGCCTTACAAGTATGCCGATCTCCCTACGTACTCCTATGAAACGGTCCAACGTCAATATTCGACCTTTGATTTTGATACTCAATCTTTCCAATTTTACCCTGTCACCTATTCAACGACCGATCTGACCGAGGATCAAAACCAGGACAACAAGGAGCCCACCGCCGAACCGGAGAAGGACCCTGCCTCTGAAGAACCCCCTGCCGCTGAGCCAAGTGGCGATGAAAATCCGACCGCTGAGCCTACAGGTAAGTACATGTTTCGATATATGACATAGTGTATCGTCGAGGAATTCATGTTCTATATTTTTCACTTGGTATTAACATATAATGTTCAGATTCCGCGGAGGCTGCACCACCAGCCGAGTCTCAACCCGACGAGGCTGCCCCAGAAGCTAAAGAAGAGGGCAAAGATGAACCAGCGCCAGATGCAGAGGGTGCCGTAGAAGAGGCGAAATCCACGGAGGATGCAAAACCTGACGATGGTGCAGCGCCCGAAGGCGAAGCCAAGCCTGAAGAGGAAGCCAAACCTGAAGAGGAAGCCAAACCCGAAGAAGAAGCCAAACCCGAAGAAGAAACCAAGCCTGAAGAGGGAGCCAAACCTGAAGAGGAAGTCAAACCTGAAGAAGAAGCCAAGTCTGAAGGAGATCCTAAGCCCGAAGACGACTCAAAGCCTGAAGATGAATCTAAACCTGAAGGCGGTGCAGCGCCCGATGACAGTGCAAAGCCCGAAGAGGAATCAAACCCCGAAGAACATGCAAAGCCTGAAGGCGGAGAAGATGCGCCAGCAGGTGAAGACACGAAAAAAGAAGGCGATGGCAACAATGGTCAGTATTTAAACTTATATTAGTTCTTACGAAGCTGACAGTATGTAGACGAAGGGTTCCCAGATTTTGATCTAGATGTAGACCCCGAGGCAATAGCAGCCGAGAAAGAGGCTGCTGCTGAAGCGGCCGCAGAAGACGCCCTAGAGAATGCGGAAGATGCACAAAAGGCTGATGCAACCCCTGCTCCAGAGGAACCAGCAGCCCCTGAACCAGTCGTGGAGGTGCCAAAGGCGGAGGAAAAGCCAGCGGCCAAGGGTAAGAAAAAGAAAGGCAAGAAGAACAAGAAGGCAGCAGGTCCTGAGCCTACTCTAGATCCAGAACCAGCCGCCGAAGCAGCGTCGGGGCCAGTGGCAGAGCCGGAGCCAGAGCCAACGCCGGAACCAGCCGCCGAGCCGGAGCCAGAGCCAGAACCAGAACCAGCCGCCGAGCCGGAGCCTGAGGCTGAGCCCGAAAAGCCCGCTGATAATCCTCCTGAACCCCCAACCCCGGAAGAGCCACCAGCGGCCGAGCCACCCGCGGAGGAGCCACCCGCGGAGGAGCCAAAGGCGGAGGAAAAGCCAGCGGCCAAGGGTAAGAAAAAGAAAGGCAAGAAGAACAAGAAGGCAGCAGGTTCTGAGCCTACTCTAGATCCAGAACCAGCCGCCGAAGCAGCGCCGGAGCCTGAAGCGTCACCTGAAACAAGTGAACAACCAGCGGAAGCAGATGCGGAAACAAAAGCGGAGGTCACACCCGAACCAACAGAGCCACCAGCAACAGAACCCGAACCTGCTCCACCTACAGCAGAAGAAGAACCCGCCAAGGAGCCAGAGCCGGAAGCTACGCCAGTTGAGGAAACACCTGCTGCCGAAACCGAAGCTGCTGTGGAGGAGAAGGTGGAAGCTGTAGAACCTGAACCAGTCGAGGAGACCCCCAAAGAGGCACCCGTCGAAGAAAGCACACCGGCCGAGCCTGCCTCCGAGCCTGCCCCCGAGCCTGCCCCCGAACCCGCTGCTGAGCCTGCTGCTGAGCCTGAAACCGCTGCTGAGCCTGAAACCGCTGCTGAGCCTGAGCCACCTGCCGAGCCTGAATCTGCTGCTGAGCCTGAACCTGCTGCCGAGCCAGCCGTTGAGGCCCCTGCTGAGCCAGAGCCAGAGCCAGCTGCTGAGCCTGAACCCGCTGCTGAGCCTGAACCTGCCGCCGAGCCTGTCGCCGAAGCTGCTGAGCCAGCTGTTGAGGCCCCTGCCGAGCCTGAACCTGTTGCCAAGCCCGTGGTTGAAGCTCCTGCTGAGCCTGAGCCTGAGCCAGCTGCCGAGCCTGAACCTGTTGCCGAGCCCGTGGTTGAAGCTCCTGCTGAGCCTGAGCCTGAGCCAGCTGCCGAGCCTGAACCTGTTGCCGAGCCCGTGGTTGAAGCTCCTGCTGAGCCTGAGCCTGAGCCAGCTGCCGAGCCTGAACCTGTTGCCGAGCCCGTGGTTGAAGCTCCTGCTGAGCCTGAGCCTGAGCCGGCTGCCGAGCCTGAACCTGAGCCTGAGCCGGCTGCCGAGCCTGAACCTGCTGCTGAGCCTGAGCCTACTCCTCAGCCGGCTGCTGAGCCTGAACCTGCTGCCGAGCCTGAACCTGCTGCCGAACCTGAACCTGCTGCCGAACCTGAACCTGCTGCCGAACCTGAACCTGCTGCCGAACCTGAACCTGCTGCCGAGCCTGAACCTGCTGCCGAGCTTGAACCTGCTGCCGAGCCTGAACCTGCTGCCGAGCCTGAACCTGCTGCCGAGCCTGAGCCTACTCCTGAACCTACTCCTGAGCCGGCTGCTGAGCCTGAACCTGTTGCCGAGCCAGCAGTTGAGGCCCCTGCTGAGCCAGAGCCAGAGCCAGCTACCGAGCCTGTGGTTGAAGCTCCTGCTGAGCCTACTCCCGAGCCCGCTCCCGAACCCGCTGCTGAGGCTGTTGTCGAGCCTGAACCTGCTGCTGCTGAGGAGCTTGCACCTCCCGCACCGGAACCCGTCGAGTCGATTATTGAAGCTGCCGAAGCACCTGTCGCTGAAGAGAAGGAAGTGACTGAAGATGCCCCCGCTGCTGCAGATCCTGTAGAGGAGACGCCTGCCCCAGAACCAGCGGTCGAGGAGGCACCTGCTCCCGCCCCAGTGGAAGAAACACCAGTGGAAGAAGCGCCTGTTGCCGAGACACCCCCAGAAGCTGTAGCAGAACCAGAAGTCGTACCCGAAGAGGCGCCAAAGGAGATCCCAGTGGAAACACCTGCTGACGAGTCAGCTCCTGTCGAAGATGCCCCAGCTGAGATCCCGGCACCTGACGAATCCCCGGCTGAACCAGTAGTTCCGGACGAGGCCCCAGCTGAGACACCAGTCGAGACTCCAACGCCGGAAGAGGCATTGCCTGAGACACCACCAGAGGAGCCTACCCCTGAGCCAGAGGCTGCCAGAGACCTCCCCGCTGAAGACCCACCAGCAGAACCAGAAGCTGCCCCCGAGCCAGTCGATATTCCCGCTAGCGACGAAGTGGCGCCCGACGAGCTTGTACCAACCCCAGAAGACGCCCAGCCAGAGGTGGAGATGATCGACGCCGAGCCTCTCGACGAAAGCGCAGAAGCCGCAGCAGCTCGCCACTCTCGACGCCGCAGAAAGCGTAGCTCACCAATCGAGGGAGAGCGTCGGCAGTCCAAGACATCTTCCGAAGGTCGCCGGGAGCAACTCCAGCGCCAGAAGAGCGAGAAAAACATCTTCACCAACCGCTGGGCCAAGGCACTGGAAGAAGCACGACGTCAACACGACGAGAAATCTCAGTTGCAACGAAAGCAGCGCGCTCTCGCCGAGGAGCGAGAGCGCAGTGGCATCCCCGCGCCGGAAAAACTGAAGCGCACGAAGAGCTCGTCCAAGGAGAAGGTGAGGGAGAAGGAGAGGGCAATGGAACCAGAAATAGAGGCCGAAGTCATCGAATCCAGACCCAGACGCCGCACCTCCGACACTCCCTCGAGCCAACCTCTCGAACGAGCCCGCTCCACCAGGACCTCGTCGAAGCAGGTATCAACATCGATACCGACGCCCAAGCCCCGTGCCTTCCTGCGATACATGACGGAAGGCAAATCGGATACCAATGGGCCTTTGCTGCGCCTAAATGCCGCTAAGGCTGTACCGACCATTGAAACGCCGCGCCGGTCATCCACAAGTCATAGCAGTGGCAGTGGCAGTGGCAGTGGCAGTGGCAGCCGTCATGACCGGGCGGAGCATGAAGAGCGACAGTCTAGTGGTCGGTCTAGTGGATCACGGTCGCGACGTGAAGAGGAGCCTTCTCGCAGTGAGCGTGTTGAGCGCACTGAGAGCAGGAGACTGCGACACTCGTCGACGGCTGAGCATGGTCGATCCAGGGAGGAAAGGAAGGAAAGAGAGAGGGAGAAAGATCGAGTGGAGAAGGAGCGTGAGCGTGAGCGTGAGCGTGAGCACGCACGCGAACGAGAAATCGAGGGAGAGAAGGAGAGGGAGAGGGAGAAGAAGCCTGAGGGCTCATCCCGGCGTTCCAGGGAGACGAGAGAGGTTCGCTCTCATCGTCGCCACAGGCGCGAGGAATCGCCTCCCCGAGAGGAGTCGAAGCTGAAGGGTCTCTGGAGAGCGATTGCTGCCCATTGAGACCATAGAGATTGTTGATTTTTTTTGTTTTTTGTTATTTGCTTTCACTTTCAACCTTGTCTTTTACTTTTACTTGGGTGGTTTGTGGTTTGACAGAATGATCTATATGTGACAATGTGTATGCTTGATGAATTTGTGCTTGCATTGGGGAGCGAATCATTGCAGGAGTACTTGACTTGGTTTTATTAGCCAGATTTGATTCAATATGCATCAGCCTGACAAGGATTTTGATTGAGGTTATCTCGAGTGCCTGTAGCCCGTATGCACAGTCTCTTGTCATCGTAGTATCTCTGTTCAATTTGACCATCATTCGTGTCATGTTTCATATGTCATTTTGAAAATCTGGTATCTTCGCCAGTGGCATCAGTCATAAACAGTATAAAAGTCACCAGGCATCAAATTCAACAAGCAAAGCCCTAAACCAGACAGTCCGGATAAGTAGCAAAATAAATCAAGTCTGCTCGCTCTTCGCCGGAATCACTCTAGAACACCACCCACACCAAGCACGATACAAACCCTTCTCCTCCCTCTCAAGATAATTCCCCGTATCCCTCTCATCTTCATACTCAACAACACAAGCACCAACATTAACCCTCTTCTTAGACTTATGTTTCACAACACCACCCAATCCGATTATCTCCTGCCTGAAATATCCAGGCTCTTCATCATCATGGCTATCCGCCGAGACACCAATCCCCTCATAACCAAACGTCGGAGGAGCTGCGGGGCTTTGCGCCCTACTACTGGTATCACTCCCAGACCCAGACCCCTCATCCGCCTCACAGTCAACCTCAAGCTCGATCTCCTGCGCAGCAAGACAGCTCTCACCCCGCCCGCACTTAACGCCCTGACAGCCTTCGCCAATGCCAGTGCCCAGCCCACCGCCAAGGTACGTGCTGTAGCGCGTGCGCCATGCCCAGACACGACGGTATGTCGTGTCATTACTGCGCAGCGTCATTCCGCACTGCGTGCACAGCCAGACGGCTTCCTCGCAATTGCAGGGGTTTCGCGCGAACGCAATTGCCGCGACGCTATTCTCGTCCCATGAGTCGGGGGTGTGCTGATCTGAGGTTGTGTAGGAGAGGTGGGAGGAGAGCGGTGCTTTGCCGCAGGGTCGACAGAGGCGGCGGATACGGTTTTTAAGGGCTGGTTGGGAAGGAGGTTTGATAGTGCAATTCTACAGAGCTGGGTTTAGCAACTTGCATGGTCTATATTCGGGGGAGGAGAATTGGCTTACTCTGCATACAACCTTGGCGCAGCGTCGACATTCGCCCACCATGTCGCGCGCGCACTTGGCTACCTTCCCCCGTGTCATGCGACTTTGCTCGCCGCTGGGACGGCTTAGTAGTCGTATGACTGATTTGACACTGTCTGGCAGGACAGAGCCGCTATCTAGCATTTCTGCTAGGGTTTCGATGTATTCATTCTCGCACCGGAGAGTCTCTCTCGCTAGTTGGTGGCGGAACGGTGCCAAGTTCACGTGGAACTGGCGACATGTATTCGAGAGGGCATAAAGGGTATTTAGGTCGATGGCGCGAGCGATTTCTTTGACGATGCTATGGGATGGTGACGCGTTAGCTAGATCTGAATCTTATTTGCCAGCTGTTGATAAACAAGTAGTACATACGGATAACAGCTCAAAGCCGCGGAGAATCCATTCCGATTCGGGTTTAGGACCTCGTCGGTCGTTTTATTCGGCGATGTACGCGATGTGGGTAGTTCGGCCGGCTCCGACGCGATGGGGTCAACCATCATAGGGAATGGCTTCTCCAAGAATGCCGATCCATCGGGAAATGCATCGTCCAGGTCGACAAATACCACCATGCTGCTCCATCAGAGGCCTTTTCTCAAGATCAGTTTCATCAGATAAGATCAGAGGTCTTTTTATAGTGCCCCTATTAACATGGAACTTGAATGGTTCGGGGTGGGATGATGGCGGAACGAGGGGATTAATTGCCGCTCCGAAGACCGGGGCGGTGAGTTACGTGATCATTTCTTTGGTCTTCGTTTCAGAAATGAGGTCTGATTTTATGTACGAAGTATGTTGTACGGAGTACGGAGTCAGAACAATAATAGCATGAGATACGTCATACTCCATTCCCATATAACCTCGGCCAAAGCACCGGGGAGGTCATCCTCGACTCCGATATGAAGTATACAGATACATAAGCTAGGTAAGCCCTTCCAAGGTTTGTTTCCTAATCGGATATCTGACGCCTTTGTATACCTTTATAGCGATATCTCCTTAGAGGGCTTTCATTTTAGTATACACCCTTTAGTCGGGCTCTCTTAGAAGGCTCAAAGAGTTTAGGCAATCGATTCTACATGATATGTAAGAAGTAGTGGACCCCAGGTGCCCATGGGGAATATTCACTTAGGTAATTATAAGGTCCCGAAGGTTAGAAGGTTGGAGTCATCCATTAAACTTACCCCAATTCGTTAGACTTGCCGAGTAGAGGAACCTCTTTTCCTTTCATTTGTGACAGGGAGACCTGCAGAAATTAGTGGGGGTTGATAAGCATTTGATATCCCCCCATATCATCCCCCATATCCCCCGCTCTCCCACTTCTCCATCATCCAAATCATGCCGCTCAACGCCAAAGCAGTATACTCCCGCGAGAATGCGGACTACGTCCCATTTGCTAGTAGACGGAGTACCGTCCACAGCACCAAGGGCATTGTATCATGCACTCAACCACTAGCCGCTGCTGCGGGTCATAAGATCCTGAGCCAGGGTGGAAATGCAGCGGTATGCACTTTGTTCAATCCTATATGTCGCATTCAACTTCAACAATACTGACTTTGATACTCGTGTCCAGGATGCCGCTGTTGCCGTGGGTAAGCCTTGCCTCAAATTGCATAATCACACAAGGGAACAGTGAACTGATTTCATACTTCTACAGCCGCCGGACTCAACATGACTGAGCCTTGCTCCACGGGCATCGGAGGTGACATGTTCTGTCTCTTCTACAATGCCAAGACGAAGAAGGTGCATGCGCTCAATGGCTCTGGTCGGTATCCTGGTAATGCCAGCTTAGAGAAAATCCGCAAGGATCTCGGTCTAGCCCCTGGTGAGCAGGGTAACATGCCCATGTTGAATGCTCTAGCTGCGACTACACCTGGGGCAGCTGCAGGATGGGTTGATACAATCGAGAAGTTTGGTAGCGGTAAGTTATCGCTTGAGCAGATTCTACAACCTGCTATTGAGCTGGGAGAGGAGGGGTTCCCTGTGTCGGAACTTTCCTCTCATGGTGTAAGTATTCAATCCTCAATCGCAATCGCACAATGGCACCATGAACTAACCTGCGCGCAGTGGAATGAGTCCGAGAACGATATCCGCAACGCCTCACCTAATTTCCGTGAGATGCTGAAAGTCGACCCTTCAGCCAAAGATGGCGTGCGAGCCCCACGTCCAGGCGAGATCATGAAGAATCCCACTCTAGCCAAGACATTCCGCGCGCTCGCTGCAGAGGGCAAGAAAGGATTCTACCAGGGCCGTGTCGCAGAATCTATTGTCAAGGTAGTGCAAGACCTGGGAGGTTACATGTCACTCGAGGATCTAGCCTATCACGCCGAGGTCGGGACACAGGAAGTCGACGCGATCTCACTCAAGTTTACCGGCCAGGACATCGTCTCGAAAGCAACACCCGGTACAGATGGCGAAGCCAACCAGGGTGTTGAAATCTGGGAGCACCCGCCAAACGGCCAGGGCATCGTGGCGCTTATGGCACTCGGCATCATGGAGGAACTCGAGAAAGCAGGCAAGATCCCCAAGTTCACTGAGGCCCAGCACAACTCAGCCGAGTACCTACACGCCGTAATTGAGAGCCTGCGCATCGCCTTCGCCGACGCTGCCTGGTGGGTCACGGACCCAGACGTGGAGAGCGTGCCTTCACAGGGCTTACTCGACCGCGCGTACCTCTCAGAGCGGGCGAAGCTGTTCACAGCCGAACGTGCAGCGGATATCATGGACCACGGCAGTCCAGCGCATAACCACTGCGACACGGTGTACTTTGCTGTAACTGACAGCGAGGGCAACGGCATCTCTTTCATCAACAGTAACTACGCTGGATTCGGAACGGCCATTATCCCTGCTGGCTGTGGCTTCTCGCTGCAGAACCGCGGTGCCAATTTCTCTCTGCAGGAAGGCCACCCTAATGTCCTGGCTCCGCGTAAGCGGCCATACCATACTATCATCCCTGCCCTTATCACCAATATCGCCGATGGCTCCTTACACTCCGTTTACGGTGTAATGGGCGGCTTTATGCAGCCGCAGGGCCATGTGCAGGTTATGCTGAACATGCTTGCCTTTGGATATCATCCCCAGGCAGCGCTCGATTCGCCGCGATTCTGTCTTGCTGCGCCGAATGAGGAGAGTACTGACCGCACGGTGTGGGTTGAGGAGGGTATTAGTGAGGCTGCTATCGAGGGACTGCGTCGTCTCGGTCATAAGATTGAGGTGTTGAGTGGCTGGAAGCGGGCTATGTTTGGTCGCGGCCAGATCATTCGCTCGTACTACGACGATGGGAAGATGGTCTATGCTGCAGGTAGTGATCCTCGAGGTGATGGTATGGCGTTCCCTTTGCTGTAAAGGCATCCTTGAGAATTATGAAGATCAAAAAACAATTGTAGACTGTGTATATAGTCACAAGTGATCAGATATCAGAAAGTTTGGGCACTTACTTTACTATTTCTGCTCCTGTTTCTTCTTCAAACATATTCATAGCTGACTATCATCCGATCTCTCTATCGACGTACAATCGATTATTAATGAATTTGCAGTCTTATGTCCACTTTACAGCTAGGATCAGATAAAGATAACTTTCTCTAACACAAGCACTTATGTCAAAACTTGTTTTCTTTAACATGTGTTGTACCCTATAAACCCTGGAAAAGCATGGCGAAAAGGGATATATAGGGCAAGATCATCCATAAAAGGGTTAGAAACTAAATGGGTCAAAGTACAGCCATACCCCTTGATGCAATCTTACTCCTATGTTGTACAATATAGGGAGGCCATCACCCGTAGGCATCCCCTATACAACTACGTCAGTATATGCATAGCATCCATCACACCACTACTCCGTACTTGTACTACATACTAAAAACAGCATACATAAGCCCCCGAACCCAATCAACAATTACCAAAATAAAGAGTAAATGCACATCATCTCTCAAGCAGGAAGGTGGTCTGAACAAAAGCCAAGGCCTCCAAAAGCCGACTCCCACAAGAACCCCTGATCGACACGCCAGACTAACCGTGCCCCACAACCAAGTACGCGACAGCTTGAGCTACTCCGTACTTTGTCGAGAGTAGTCAGGAGATGGAAAAAGACAAGAACGATATTCACATTTACAATAAAAAGACAAAGCCGGCATCCATATACAACAGTATCATGAATCAACGAATATCAGCCCTCAAATCCCCCCACCTCAAACCAAACGAATCCATGCTCATAGTACGGAGTACCAATAGTCCCAAAGACCAATTCTAGATCGAAGCCCAAAAAGCCACCTACAAGATACTCGATAAAAATGACCCATAAGCAAGTCTCTACGGAATATTCCAAATAAACGGGAACGAATGATTATTTCCCGAGCCCCGAAATCAGTCTAGTGGAGAGAACAGTGGAGAGAACAAGGTGGGGGAGGGCAGGTCCGTTTACTACATTGAGATTAGCCTGGGTACCGTGTAGCTTACTCTCCATCCAGCGTTGATTACAAAATGGGTTTCCGGGGCCTCCGGGAATATAAAGTGGAGTTGGTCGAGTGTTTTGGACAAGGCTTACGGAGTACAACATAGAGTCTAGAGTCTCGGACATCCGGCCGAGAGAGATATGCCTCTTTCAAGTTGCGGGTTTATAAGCTGGGTTTATGTGGGTATTCTCTTAGAATCGTATTTAGTGGGACATCGTAAGGTCAGAATCGGGATTTGATATCCAACCTTGATGTGTAATGCCTTCTGGGGAGGTTTCAGGTAGAAAGTACAACATACGTACTCCGTACGAAGTACAAAGAAAGTACTTTGTACATATTTTCTTTCCCTTCCAAGTTTGGAAGTTGAGGTCGGCTGTGTTCCGCTTTTACATAAGCCGAAGTTTATCCTTTTCCATGGAATCTGTTTCCGCTAGATCGGAGGTCGCTTATCTCGCTTGAGTCCACGGGTATGACGGCCAACCGAACCACGGCTGTCGATTTAATAGAGTTGAACTTTATATCGGGAGTTTGGAGGATTCATTCTATCGGATTTGGAGCTACTCCGTATACATTTATAAAATGCCGGGGTATGGTGGGATCATCCCAAAATGAAATTTGCGGTACATTTAAATGGCCTGCAGGGGTATAAATGGTATAGTAGACAAGAATGGTAAAAGAAAAGGAACAATCATAATCGTGTCGTCGGAAATCACACATAAAGAAACACGTCAAACAAAGAAAAAAGGAAACATGAAATCTAGGACCCAGTTCATATCTGGGACGCAAGACCAAAGAATCAACCAGTCGATGTCGGGAAATCGCTTGTCTTCTTTGGCCTTTCTATTTGCAAGAATTGCGGATGGGCGCGTGCTAAAAGCAACGGCGACCGGTGGACCCGGAGTCCGTAGTCACACCCCGGGCAGGAATGGAGACAGGTGGAGAGCCCTGATAATGAGGATTGAGCCATTTGTAAAGAGTCGAGACCACCCTCGTAAGGCAATGAGTGGCCCTCGGGAGTCCCGTCCCTTGGACCCACATCCATGGAGTCCGAGGTTTTCAAGGATTGTTGGATCATCCGCGCTGATTTTGTATGGAGGCGAATGCCCGGGTGGTCGTGTAGTCATAATGTTCGGCCGTCTGTAATCAATGTGTTTTGATCAAAGCTTCGATAATCTTTTCACATCCCCCAGCTCACAGGCTGGAACTGGTGCATGGAATGGACCTGGTCCTCGTAGGGAAGGCAGTCTGCGCTGGGCCATGGAGGAGAAGGGTAGTGGCACTGAACGGGCTAAAAATATATTAGTCAATGGTCATATTGAACAATCGCGAAGAAAACTCACTGGCTGGATCATATTCTCCCCCATGGACATGGGAACTAGATGCGACGGAGGCATGCCAGCATCAGTATCCCAGCGGAGGGGAGTGTGCATCTGAAGCGGGGACGAAGTGACCTCGCCCTTTAGAATATTCTTCGGGTACTGGTCGATGATAGACACAGATGCAGAAGAGATGGAGGAGCTAGAGTGGGGGGGAAGAGAGAAAGTTGCATCCGACAGAGGTGAGGGGCAGGTCTCTGCGGGGGAAGAGTAGAACGGGCTGTCGTCAACGGAGTTGGGGAGCTGGCTATGGAATCCCGGGCGGGGCAGTAGGGGCAAGTCGACGCCGCTCCACATTAATGAGCAGTCGTTGTTGGTCAGATCCGGATGAATCCCAGGAGCCACGAGTGAACCGATGGACATGGAGTGTGAATGGGAGGTTGCGGTCAATGAAATTCCATAGTCCATTGACATACAGCGCGGGATAGCGGACTCGGGTACGATGGGCTTTTGGGTGTTGGATTCCCATAAGGACTGCTCTGATTGCGATTCGAGTTCGCTGCCATTCTTGTTAGTATGCGCCATATTTCCGAAAGCTTTCTGTAGTACTCACTGTCTCTCCATATGGCGCGCAAGGAGATCAGCACGGTGAAATGCTTTCTTGCATCCTTGTGTTGCGCAGCGGTATGATGCCTCGGGGTTGTGGTTCAACTCATGACGTCTTCGGTGCTCAGCTCTGGTGAAGACCTGCAACGCTGTCAGCTTGATTGATCCGATGGATGTATATGATTGCGCTGACCTTTCCACATGTTGGGTATTCACAGGCATGTACGCGCTTTCCCTTCTTAGCCTTGCTGATGCGATGGGTGGTTGGTGTATAGGTGACGGGCATAGTTGCATCTGCCGGAGAGTTTGTACGAGAGTTGTTCTTCCGGCTCGCCATCTTGGATTTGGGGGCAAGTCTTTGAGGTTCTGGCGAAGAGGAGGAGGAGACGGAGGAGGAGGAGGAGGAAATGGAGGGCGAGTTCAAGACAGAGACGATGTGGTTTGGACTGATGCGCCCTGTGGATCCCCGGGTCATGATGTGTGAAGAGAATGGAGGAGAAAGAGTAGACAAGTATGGGAGGAGGAATGGAATGATATATATATATATATATAAGATGTAGATATGAGGCTTTGAATTGGGAAGATGTAAGCTGCACAGAATCCTGAAAGAAGAGAAGAGATGAAGAAGAGAGGAATGTGGACTGATATAGAGGGAACAATATGCGCACTAGAAGGGCTGTTGCTACAGATCTACAAGACGGATTAATAGACTTTGGGTAAAATTGGAGGAAATTAATATGTGCTAAAAAAAATAATAATAAAATAAAATAATATTGAATTAATTCCCCAAAATATTCATGCTAATAATAATTCCAACAAAAATAAATCCAACATAAGGCTAACTGAGGCTAACTCAGATTAGATCCAGGGAAAAAAACAGCACGGGCGTGGAGGCGATGATCGCTCTACGGGATGATCAGAGCATAAGCCGTCCTAAATTTACACGACAGGGGGAATGCATTAGATCCAACATGAGTGCGGCTGAGGCGCACTTTCCAGTCCGCCCTTTAGTGATCCATAATAAGAAATTGGGCGGAATAACCCGTTGGCTATGTTGGTTCGAGATAGCGCAATTTCGCTACCGTTCGTCTCAGACTGGGCGATTAATATGAATTATCTGGTTAGTGTTTATTACCCTAGTTACGTTAGTATATAGTGCTCTAAAATAAAAATTCGATGAATTCCAAATCTTCTCCCAACTCTGTCTGGGAAAATAAAATAATAAAACCTTAGAACGACAAACGAAGCTAAGATGGCTCTGATATTCCAAATCCCGCGTGGACGTGGAGCAGCTTTCACATCGCGGGCTGCGAGTCCAAGCTCCCACGGAATGCAACGGGTTTGCCCCATCAAAAAGCTAAGGTAAATATCAGTGGGGCGGGCGCTGGTTTAGGCAACTCGCAGGACCAGAATGGGAAGCGCTATTCCAAATGTGGTATGTAAGAGGCTCCCGAGGTCGCTACAGGGCTACATGGGTACCAGGTACTAAGTAGCGGCACATTTTTCTGAATTAGGAATACACTCCAAACATGGCAGATAGACATTCCCAATACTTTCTATTTTCTTTACTACCTTCAGTTTATATACAACAAAAAGATCACTTTGGAAAACGTTAGAATGACCTAGTTATGGATATGATCTCAGGGAAAAAAAACGGGAGATCCGGTGGATCCTTGGATCCGACCAAAGCCTCAACCAAACTTGAAGTTGATTAAACCGAACTAGACTGAGTTCACTCATCCAAAAAGAGAAAGGGCGAAAAAGAAAATAGAAGCAAAAAAGGAAAAGAAAAAGAAAAAGAAAAAGGAAAGAGAGTCAGCCTAGTGGGGCCCCCCCGGGCCCTTGGATGGCGGGACTTGGCATTTTATTTGTTTTCCAAGGTTTGCGCTGTTGTTTCAGTGCGCCGATCCTTAACTTTTATGGGTGGACGGATACCCCAAACTCCCGGCTCCGAATCTCAAAACGTCTCAGTTCGTCCGGGGGAAACCATTTGGTGGAACGGTTACTATATATCCTACTATATCCTACTATATTGTGCATGGAACTATTGATTTACATACTATATGGTATATGAACCTCCATACACCATCTTGTCTTGGGGCACAAAACATTTGGTGACCTTAGTTTCCCTGTACCCCGCCCCATGCGACATTGCATAACCGGAGAATAGCTCCCCTGTCACCCTCGTGGCAGAGCAAGCATCAGGAGCCGAATCCCAGACCAGTGGCAAACATCTTACTGCATTAATACACTATCTATAGCAAGATTTAGACCCTTAATATACTTTATACATTGTATTACTGCATTACTAAAACACGCTATATGCACCGTCCATAATTCCCCTGAATTTCTAGAAAGAATCATTCCTTCTGCAAAGCACATCCCTAAAAGGAACAAGGAACAATAAACTAAAGTAATAAGCGGGAGTGCACCCTATTCAGGGGACTTCGAAGGATCATTCCAGGCTAAGATATGTCCCGTGCGGACGCCCGTCACTATCGCGACCGTTTAGCAAAGACCAAGCAAATTACGGGCACTAGGTAGATGGCTGTGGGGGGAAGAAGTGTGGAATCCGGTTCTTGCACGATCCACCATCTACAATGTAAGTTGCTGCAGATTCTGAAGATCCGCGTTGAGAACCTTGATCTGGACTGCAAGGCATTCTTGCAAGGGTCTTGAAACGTACCTTGTCATTGGATATAGATGAAAAATCAGAAACAGAAACAGAAACAGTCAAATATGCAGCGTGCGGGAACTACCACAGCCTCATTTTTATCCAGCTTCCAAGTTTAGACATGCATGATGCATCCCCTGCCTCTACTTCGTATCCTTGTCTATACAAGCCAAGAGAAAGAGGGGTCTCATCCATGTGTGATCGGCTGCTGCGGCTAGGGTCATAGGGCAGGCTTAGCCTGGGGTTTGTACGGAGTACGGAGTACCGACCTTGTAATTAAAGCTTTTCTTTTTTTCCTCTCCTATTTTTTCTCCTTTTGGCTCAGATTAGTATTAATTAACATCGATTTTCATTTGCTAAATCTTGATCTAAGCCCCTTACGGCGTAGAGTGACACGATACTAATATAGATTGTGTACAATAATTGTTGACCAATCGTGGTCTTGTTGAAGCGAAATTCAATGCCCGGGTTTCCCCCTGTGCTTACAATTTCGCACATGGCTCATGGTTGTTAATCTCCGTCCGCTTGTTAGCGTCTGTGTGGGGCATGGAGACTGCTTAAAATCTTACGGATGAAGGGGTGGTGATGTAACTAACTCATCTTTTTTTCTTCTTTTGAAACAGCGCTTACTATTTCGTAGCGCTGTTGGGATCGTCGGCATTTAGATGATACTGATAGCCGAGTTTGGGGGATGTGGATAATATCGAGTATGCCTACGTGGGATGATGCTGCATTGGTAGTCTTGGAAATATGCTCTCTGCAAATCTATAAAAAAGTCTATTAACGCCTGCCTTCCTTTTCAAGATGAAGATTACTCCGAATAGTAACAGGATAAACCTTGTGCCTACAATAGCAACGGGTGCCATAAAGAATACGAATACAAAGTGCATACAAAGTGCAGATGACCGTGATCATCAGTATATAACTAACGAGTCAGAGAGCTTTGTTGTTGTTGGTTCTTTTTTTAGATGCTTACAGCACAGGTGGACACACATGCCAAGCCGCGTGCACGCTAGTCTACTTTTCATCTTAAACAAAAATTTAATATTTTATTTAGCCATGACTACTTCCACATGTATGTTGTAACTACAACATACGGAGTAGGTATTCTGTTCATTTATCACATGTTATACATAAGACATCCTACAAATCATCAATTTTGCCTTAGACATATCCATGAATTGACTATGCTACCAGCCAAATAGGTTGGACTATTATTCCACGTCGTCCAAGATACAGGCATAAACTACTGCTCTTGTGATACCTGGAAAAGTATACTCCGTACGTAGTGTACATATTAGTACTTCATATGGAGTACTCCGTACTGCGTACGACATATGTTGCATACGCTAGCATATACGCTCCCTCCCTAATTCGTTCTTGATCGACATAATAGCACCCAAAACTAATTTGCAGGTATGGAGTACTCCGTAGCAATTCCCGCCATGGCATATTGTGAATTAAATTAAATTAAATCAGAGCTATCGACAACGTGACTCCATATTCTTACTAACCCTTAGAGTATTTACGGGATTCCCAGATTCCCAGGATCGACATAGAAGCACCCCGAGGTTACCCCGGGTTGTCTAGAGTACATCCCTTGAAACTGTGGACTTTGATCTGGACTGAAAACAAAAGTAGGAATTAGGGGGGAAATGAAGAAGAAAACCCGAAAAGAAAAAAAATTCGGGTTCGGATATAAAGAGCGTAAATGCGCCCTTTTTCTTTTCCCCACCAGCCCCTCTCAAGCTTTAGAGGCTCTTTGGTTCCAATCAGGTCATGGTCAAAAGGTGGCCCTTCCGGGTCTCTCTCGTTAATCGGTGAACCTCCCTTTTAACCTTCCGCGGTGGATCTCACGATAGTATTCAGGAAGGTTAAGCATTGAGAGAGAAAGTGGCAAAGGGGCAAAGTTACGGATAAGGCTGATAGCGTTGTGCATGTTAGTTGCCTACTTCTGCACATATAACAATGAGTTAATAGGGACGATGTACTTCATATGTATCATGAGTCATTCGAAGGTAATCTCACCTCAGATCCAGTATTTGCTCTAATTGGTGGAAGTGCTACTGTCTTTGATTCGCTTGGTCGGATGAGATAACCCGCTCTAGGTCTAGGCACTTCCTAGAGAGTCTTTAATAATATCGCGCAATTATTACCATAGTAAGAAGTGGTCCTAAAAACTTGGCTTCGCTACACATACTTCACTTGGAGTTGCGGTTATTTACGGTGTCTCGAACGACCAAAATTTTTTTTTTGGCTCGGGAGTACCCGAAGGAAAAAAAAAGGGACATCGGCTATACCCGAGGACTTGAGCCAGGGTTTTCTCTTCGACATAGTAAAGTTACCCCTTACTTTGTGCTTCGTAATGCATCCACGGGTGTAATCGATAACTACCAAACTGTTGGGGCCTCAATCAATGGTAGGTTGAAGTTAATTGCGCCCACGTGGAAAAAGCCGTAAGACAGAAATGTTCGGGTGTGTGTACATTATACAAATCCGGTTAGTTCAGGCCCACTCGGTTATCCCAATGGATCGCGATCTTGTTTACTCCGTACTCCTCACTCCCTGTATTATTGTTTTAGTCAAATGAGTTCGTCTTTTCTTTCCCTATCTAGCACGTTTTCAATAACTCCACAATAGTCAACGTCTCGTTGTGTTCTAGAACAGGTCCTCGTGTATCTGTACGGAGTATAGCTCGATACATCACAATATGTATAGATTAATGTTACCGCCAAGCATGGTCTACAAGTCGAAATGTGTGAGTGATCTGCGCCCACGGTCCAGTCCTGTCCAGTAGATCG